CTCTCATCACTCCAGCCCTCGGTGTAAATCTCGTCTCCAGCGTGAGCGATCGTTGATGACATCTTTCGACGTCCATGCCCAACGCAGACGTCCTTGAAACGAAGATAAGATCGCCCTCGTGATCTCCTGTCGGTGGTCAGTTCCCCGTACAGAAGGACCTTCGGAATTCCCCTACCACCACCCACCACCATCAGTAGACTCTTGCTTCCCGTGTTTTGCCGTAACAGGGAGACGACGCTGGAGTGTCCTCTCCAGGGCGCAGGCCTGGGTAGGACTTTATGAGAGATCCGTGGTTGCCCATTCAGCACGTCTCCCCTCTCGACACCACCGATGTTGTCCAGGGGAAAGGTAGAGTCTAATTCATGTTTACGCACCTATCAAAAGATAGAATTCAGTTTGAGCGAGATATTAACATGGAAATTGGGCAATTAGTTGAAATAGATTTGCTGAATCGAAAACATGAGTCGCTCAAATAAAATATCTGCCAAATCAAATGACTTCTGTGGAAGGGCGTGTTATTGTTTGTCACGCACACAAGCCTGCATCGTTAGAAAGAAAGAAAGAAAGAAAGAAAGAAAGAAAGAAAGAAAGAAAGAAAGAAAGAAGTTCGGTGTGTCCAGACAAATGCTGTTAAATCTACTTCTAACCGTAAAAACATTTTACATACTTTGGAAAATACCAGGCGAGAAACTGTCACCGATCCTTTTTATCACACTTTCTCTGCGTTTAAAAAAAAAGACCGACACGGATAGGCCACAGAAAAAAAGCTTCGATATTCTTATAGAGTGGGATGAGGAGTTATCATTATTTACATTACTTACAGTCGGAGTAATATTTTCATCTTTGTTGCTATAACCATAACATTTCGGCCGTTTTGTCTTCCGGCTTCTTCAAGTGTCTGTCGATCCGAGTAACCATCAGGGGAAGTCAAGCTGGACATCAAGGCAGCAGTAACTGTCGCAGCAGCAGACAGGCAGGTAATATAAAATTAAGTTCAATAGCCTAGAGGTTTGAAATGTTGGTTTCTAGATCTAGTGGCACAATAATACTGTGTTCAATCCCTGGGCTGGTAGAAACAGGACAAGCAATAATTAGGCAATAAAACAAGACGATATACTCGAGACTGGGCAGCCAACTTCCAGCAAACACACAAACACAGTGGATGCCATTTTGTGCATGTGTGTTCGCAGTACTACCTTCTGGCAACGAAACTGAGATGTAAACGTTATTATTATTATTATTAGTAGTAGTATTACCAGTAGCAGTTGCCTACCGCTAGCAAACACAATTTATGGGTTAAGTTCGACAATTCAGACAGACATCTGAAGACGGCCGGAGGTACACAACGGCTTTGTGATAATAAGAATAAAAATAAGGACATTAATCAAAGTCTAAAGGATTTAAATAATTATATAATGGGTATTTGCGAGTTTGCCATGGAATTTGGAATTGAAAGAAAAAAAACGCATACTTTGAACGAAATTTATTTTTCTTGCAATTTTCTACAACTCTTAAAATTTAGGTTTGTTAATAAATCTCAAACAATATAGCAACAGAACCGAAACATCACTAACAGAAAGGATAGTAACAATATTACGAACAGTTACCTGCAGTGAATACACAAACATAGACGATACCATAGTTGTGTATGAAAGTTTGAAGTATTTCTTTACGGCAACGAATCTAAGACGTAAACACTACCAGTAGTAGTACTGATATTACCAGCAGCAGTTGTCTTTCTCTAGCGAGCATATAAACAAAATAGAGCTCCTTTTGCCTCTCTGAGATCAAAGTACCTCATAAAAAAATATTTGTCTACGTATTCACCACCATTGGCTATGCATTTTCCGGGTGCTCTTCATTGTAAAGTGATTTGTCACACGCATCGCTTTCCCTACTGCTGAAACATATTACCTACCGCCTACCTGATCTCCGATTCCTTGTTTGGTTTCCATAAACGTTCAGCTGTGGAGGAATTCAATTTAAAAAAATTCTATTTCCTACACATTTTTTTTACAAAAAAAATCATTTCATCCCAGGCAAAACAATAAAGTCACTAAGACGCATGGGGTTACTGAATATGAGAAAAATATTATTTAAGAGACAGAACAATAAAAGAAGACAAATTAAGAAAACACAAGATAACGATTGATATTGCGATTAAACTGTTGACGATCAAAGTTGACCGGAAATTAAGAAGCCGGGAGAGAGTCCCACAAGCGAGAAGTGCGACAGAAACATCTGTTAGCGTAGTGGTTACATCCAGCCATTTCAACTATAAAATAAGACCTTACCGCCAATCTAGCACTGTACTTAAATTCATAAAGTCTATGTGTCATAGAGGAAAGTTCATCAGCACAACTACCAGGAAAGTATCTGCGTTACGGCGATGGGAAAGTGACTGAAGCCGATATGCCAGGTCAGGACCAATAATATTGCGGATTCTTCTTTGGACTTTATCAAGAATTTTAAAATACATAGCAGAAGCACCAAACCAGACGTGGCAGCAATATTCAATGGAAGGACGAATGGTAGACTTGTAAATGTGTTAGACTCTGGCAAGAAAAATAGTCTAACACTACAAAGTGAACAAACTTTCTTAGCAGCAGACCTAGCAATAGATGCAATGTAATCTTTCTTCTTCATATCAACGGAAAACGTTCGCCCGATAAGGTGGCACGAGATTCTCATTTTCATATCAGATGCTGTTTTACTAGACTGCAGCTCTGCCACTATCTGCAACAAGAGAAAGAAGTATGGCTTATTGGCAGGAACTCTACTGCTATAACCACAACATCTGTCTATGACGTCATGAGACAACATAATTTATTAGGAGGCAATACTTTTGTATCTACTGTCGTATTTATTGTAATATGCATTATACTGTAATAAAGGACTTAGGTTTGCAATTAAATAAATAAAAATTCAATTAACGACCTGGCCACTAAATGAACTGGTCACTAAATGAGAACCTGTAGCTGACCCGCTATTTCAGGCATGCTACATCTGTAATGGGTTTATATCAGCCTGCTCCGGATAACTTTCATGTCACTTTTTCACCATTTGTATCATTTCTAATTTATTTCTAAATGTTTAGGCGGTAGAGTATTGTACTGAGCAGTAAATGTCAGTCAGTTATGTGACATCGGTGATATACGCTTAGGCGATCATGTATCTTTCGATTTTAGATAAAATTAATGTATTTTTTAAAGTATCCTTTTACACATTTGGATTTCTTTTAAATTACAGTTTTTTTTTAATAACTGAGAAAATAATTTAAAATTGACAATAATATATATAAATTATCACTGAAACGGCCAAGGCAGAGACTTCATCGATAGAATATTACAAGTTAATAATACAAGATAATAATACAATAATATATAATACAAAAATATATAATATAATATAATAAATACAATATAATATATAGCAATACAATAATCCTTAAATATAATATACCACACACACACACACACACACACATATATATATATATATATATATATATATATATATATATATATATATTTTTTTTTTTGTCTGTATGTATTAATTGAGGGGCACTGTGCAAAATTTTGACATGAGACACACAGAAGTCATGACCACATTCACGTTCACACGCAAAAAAAGTACCGCGCAGACAAACTACAAAAGAATCCCTTTCTTTCCCTCTCTCTGCAAACTATGATCAAAGCGAAAGGATTAATGGAAAGTATCCACGAAAAGAAACAAATACACAACTGCAAAGAAAGAAAGAATGAAAGAGAGAGAGAGAGGGGGGGAATAGAAAGGGATAGAGATGGGAGATAAATATATGTCACTAGCGATGATGTTCTAATTTCTCAGCAAATTTGACGCTCAAGAACACCCAAGGTCTGTCACAAAAGCACGCGTACAAAATCTATGCGCATGCCATATATATATAAGATTTTTTTGTGTGTAACAGTTGAGGGGCAGTGTGCAAAATTTTGACATGAGACGCACAGAAGTCAAGACCCCATTCACGACCACACGCAAAAAGTTACCGCGCTAACAAACTACAAACAAACCGCTACAAACAACGGCGACACAATACACAGTAAGAACTAAATTATAACTATCTCTTGCATCCACCGTTACTACTAAGCATGCACACACGTACTGACTCTTTTACACAAACGATGACCCACCCAAATTCAGTTTATATTTGTTTTTGAGAAAAAAAAGAAACATATAACAACATTTCACTGTTTCTTACATATGTACATAAATTATATCTATTTATTTCTTACGCCTGCACGATATTTTGATGAGATATTTCATTAAATATTTTAATGGCAAATTAATTTAAATAAAATACAGTTAAATCCGTAAAACAAATATTCAACACAACTATTGATCTATTAAGGAAACAGAAGGGCCATAACTCATGTCTGTCTCTCACAATTTTTATCTAACTAAAGTTCTTTTTCTTTCCAAAAGAAATATAACTTGATTTTGGCGGATGGGTCATCGTTATTTTACACACTTCCTCTTAATTGTTACATCGAAAAAAAATGATATTTGAATTAAAGGAAAATTACTTACAATATAATACAAATTACTTATAATACCTTCCTTCTAGCCGTCAATTTTGACGGCACGGGGACAGTAGTAATACAATAATAATACAAGATTATTATAAATGATACAAGTTATCGCTGAGCGAGGGGCTTCCGAGACTGAATTCAACTGCCAGGGCGGGAAATGATCAAGGCGAGACTTCAAGTTGGGTAACATCGGCTGTGGTTTGACCTGGACAGGGAAGGACTCCGCCAGGTCTACTTGCACGCGACACGTTTTGTATGAAGGAATACCTATCCGACATTCAACCTAGATAAATGAAGGGAAGTGTTTAGCTGCTCACTTGAAACCACGCCCAGTCATGAGACTGATGATGCCGATGATGAAGTATAAGCTTTGTTTCTGCAGATCCGCCTTTCGTGTAGCATGTACTCCTTGCACTAGGGCTTACAGCTACATCACGTTGAAACACGGATTCCTGTACGATCATCGAAGTTAAGCAACGTCGAGCCTGGTCAGTCCCTAGATGGGTGACCACTTGGAAATACCATGTGCTGTAAGCTTGGGCATGCAGATTGTGTAAGGGATAATGGCTCAGAATTGTTAATCAGAAGGCCGAGTTCCAATTCCAGTTGGGTTCGTTATATTCACGTACACGCAAATACCCTAAGGGGCGTTATGAATCCACCACTTTACCTGTAGCTATGGATTAATTAGTAAGGCATATATCACTAAATTAGGTAACTCCACTAATTCGGTATACTTAAGGTTTAAAATGAATTTCTAAAAATTGAAATGCTTTCTTGAAGCTTTCATTTTAGGTTTAATTAAAGTCCAAATGATTTAAAATTTATTATTTCCAGTAAGAAAAATACCTTTTGGATTATTTCTAACAGAAATTATATTGATCGGAATCGATTTTTTCAGTAAAATCTATGAAAGCAGCCATTTTGACACATTTGTAAACAAAAGTTAATTCCCGGTTTTAAAAATCTTGCAAAAATAAAATATATATTTCTGAAAAATTATTTGAAGAAATTTAGCAAATTTAAAGTTAAATTAATTAGATTTGAAACAAATATTATAGCATAAAATGCTATATACAAGCATTTTTTTAACGACGGGGTCTTGTTTTTCTGACATGTTAAACGATTTATTGACAGCCGAATAACCGCCGAACGTGTTCATAGTTAAGTATGGTGGAGCAGACGATAAAATTTATATGAGGGTTTTCCGTAAAGGGGGAGCCAACCCCTTAAAACACGTGACCTTTTAATGATAATATTAGATTTGAACATCCATACTTAGAAATTCTGCACGTATATACACATATAAAACAAATCGAATTTCTTTTAAAAATATTCAGGGTTGTCAGATTGTAATAAGCTTTAAAATATGATTAGTAAATACAATTTTACTTAATAACATTATTTCCTAAGACTTACCCAATTGTAATTGAATGTTAAAAGATTTAAAAACTTTATAAATCATTCAGTTTAAAATTGTAAAAAAAAATGAAAACAAGTCTTGTAAAAATTTATTTTTCATCGAAATTTTTTTTTTCTTCAGACAATATTGCCTTTAATATATATTATTCATATAATCAATTATAAGCTTCTCTAATTAAATAATGTCTTAGTTTTATTGCATTTTTTTTATTTCTCGATTCAAAGCAGATTTTCGGTAAGACGGGGTCCGATTTTGCAAAAAAAAAAAAAAAAATATCGGTGATTTAAATTCTTCAAAGAATTCTGCTTTTGACTAATATACTCATTAAAAATCATCACGTTAAATTTCTCAAATTTTCATAAAATTAATGAAGGAGGTGAAACACGTAAAAATAAAATATATATATTTTACCAAGATTTTCTAATAAAAAATTTAATTCATCTTTGAATAAGTTCTAAAAATTTCATTAAAATCCGAAAATTATTTGATTTTTGCAAGCATTTCCAATTTAATGCCTGTCACCACAAAAAGAGGCTAAAATTTGCTAAGCTAAAAGTTAGTACATCAGCTGAGACAAGAAAGAACAAGTTTTTTAATCAAAATTTCCAATATTCTACAAGGGAGTAAAAAATTTATTAAATATTAAGAAAAGTTCTTTGATCCTTCCTCTTAATAATAGCATAAAGCTTTTGACGATAAAACTACGTTTGCATTACGTTTGAAGCATGTTTTCATTACGGTATGCTGATTTTTAGCGATTTCGTGGCGATATCTACACTGAATCATTATTATCTAAAAAAAAGTCTAAAAATATTTTCTGTATTTAAGTAAGCTGCAAAGGGTTGGTAAGCCGTAGAAAACGAATCAATAAAAAACCATTGCTTTAACATTAAAAGCAATGGCTGCTCGGTCAATAAATGCCGAATGTTTCCTTATAAAGAAACAGTTTATTATTAACATTACCATACGTTAAAAAGAAAGCCATCAAGTGCTTCATTTCAATGAAAGATCTTAATAACGAGAAAGAAAATCAGAGGTCAACGAGTGGACTTATCCGGCATTACAAAACACAGCACCATAGTACAAATAAAGTAAGCGAAACCTGTGGCTTAAAATGTAGGTCACTCGCTGGACTCACTCACCAGCGACAAAGAAATCAGCAGTAAAGTCATGAAAGTGGTTGTACTTGGACACGGGTTGACTTTTCACCATGTATGTATGTATGGAAAATTATATATATATACTAGCAGTAGAGCCCGGCGTTGCCTGGGGATGTAACAGTAAGAGATAGATCAAGTATCGACCATCATAAAGACTGAAAAATAAAATTGACAAAGATTATTGTTTAAGGTTGACGGACACGCATGTCTTAATTAGTTTTTTTTGTTTTTTTTTTTACGAATTGGTCAAACCCAAACTCAAACAAAAACATTGTTTTCAATCGTTATGAGTCTCTACCGATTGAATAGAATTTTATTATAAACAACTGTCTTGTAAATGGAATTTTTAAGGCATTCTGAATGTAAAAATAAAGAAAAAAGTGTTCAAGACAATAAGAAACACTACCTGCCAAAAAAAGTGAAGTTTTGTTGAAATCGGTTGAAAAATATAGGAAATCCGATACCATATATAAACGAACACACACACACACACACACACACACACACACACACACACACACACACACACAACACAAACAACCTGGGTTTTATAAGTATAACTCGATATGAGTTGTCCCCCTTTCATTCAGCGATGCCTCTTAATCGTGTTTTCAAATTGATTTCGTGCAAAAACAATTGTGTTTTCCCAATTTTGGGCGCTGTCAGAACCACCGCAAGGTAATTTTACGCAGTCCTGTGAAGTTTTGTTGAAATCGGTTGAAAAATGTAGGAAATACGATCCAATATATAAACGTACAGACACACACACACACACACAACCTGGGTTTTATAATAAGTAAGATATATATATATATATATATATATATATATATATATATATATATATATATATAGGGATCGGTTCGAATTCTCAGTTGCTGGGTGTATATCTAAAAATCTTAAGATCTATATCCCCTTCTCATGAATACTACTGGTACTACTGTCTAGGAGAGGCATGGGCAAACTTTAGCGACCAGTGGGCAGCGTGAGATATGGCTCATCATAAAATGGGGCGCACTAATAAAAAAAAATTCATAGTAATTTTTCGCTGAAAGTGGTCATTTTTTTTTTTACTACAGAAGATCGTACGCGTGAGCATGTTTCTTAGAAATATGGAAAAGATTGATATTTTTTATTTGGAAAAAATGTTTCTACAAATTTAATAATTGAAGATTTTTTAATAATATTATCACTGACGACAACTGCAATGAATACGCACTGCTGGGTGTGATTTGTTTCGAATTTATTCAATTCAAAATACAAAAAAACTTTTTTTTAAAAAAAGGAACATTTCTTCTCCAGAGAAAAAAAAAACATTTCTCGTTTCTAAAGCAAACTATATTCCTTAATGAAAATCGTCAATGGTTTAAAATACTGAAAACGTTACCTTCAAGGAAATGTTACAAAATTAAAGAAACATCAAACTTAATCATTGTTCTATATGTAGTTTAGTCGAACTCTATCCACAACACAACAGGGATTAATAAGTAAGGGAGGCTACTCAGATATTTAATAGTTATTTCTCTTTGACACCTACTTCTCTCAACATCTTTGTGTGGGAGACCATGCGAGTGAATAAGTGAGAATGAAGCAAATGACCAAATTTTAATAAACAATTCCTCATTAACTTAGGTATACCATTCAGAAGGCCAAAGGAACTGCATGTGGCTTGCGGGCCGCAGATTGTCAATGATTTAAAAATTTCATTAACATATTAATACAGGTTAAAAGCTGTAGATAATGAATATATAAGTTCCTTGTTTACCTACATGAGAATGCACATGTAGTTTCAAGGTATATAATTATTGAATGTGTGGGTAATGTAATGACTAGCGGTGCAGAAACTGGAATCAGCGGACCGAGTTCGGATTCCGGGCTAGTCTGTTGCGTTTACTTTCGTACATATAGCCTCGGGACACGATTTAGTCTCTTCATCCCGAAATAAAATACCTATTAGTGTATCCAGTAAATAATCGCGTTTTTATAGAGAAATTTCGCCCCAAACAATGAAAAGGGTTAAATAGCAGAGTAGAGTGGGCTCCCTAGCCCTGAGTGGTAACCAATCTAAGAGAAGGAAAACTTTTAATTCCGAACTGTGGAGAAGACAACGGGAAAATACCCCACTATATTGCTCAAGAACGCATGGCAATCCACAGATAATAAAGAAAACGAATCTGTGGAGAGTCATGATCGCCTACGTCCTAAAGGGACACGGCTTTAAAAAAAAATGACCAAACATTTGAGATCTAGCGCCTTTCACCATACTTCTGGATCAGGGAAATTTGCTTTTCGATTTAACTAAATAATTTTAAAAATAATCATTGATTATTGTCTTTAATCAAACTTGTATTAATGAAAGACTGCTACTCAAATACGCATTATGCAAATTGATCTATTAAGGAAACAGAAGGACCATTGTTGAATGGGAGTGCATGTTAAAATACGAATAAGGCTTATAAAGAGCTGTGAATGAGAAATTGGAGTCGGGGGGGGTGACCTAGATTTTTTCGTTCGGCTCTTGAAAATGGGTCGTTCTATCAATATAACTTGGTATGGCTCAGTCATTAACACCAGATGTGACCGATTTTCTGTTTAAGTATGCTCATCATTTCTGTTTTTTTATTTATTTATTTATTTATTTATTCAGTTCAGAGATTTTAAAAAATGTCATGAATGAAAGAAAAGAAGAATATAAAAACAGAGACAGGAAAAAGAAAACGGCCTCCTTCTTCTCCAAACTATATACACTAGAAGACCCATGAAAATTTCACGGATCTCTTGTTTAAGTTTTCTGCGGTGGAGTAATGGATAGCGGCTCGGATTGAGGAATCAGAGAGCCGAGTTCGAATTCCAGTCGAATCCATTACATTCACTTACGTACTATTACCCTTGGGAAATTGTATGAATCCTTTTCTCCCCCCCCTCCCCATCTATGGGTAAGTAGCAGGACAG